CCTCTCTCTCTCTCTCTCTCTCTCTCTTGCTCTTTTTCTTTTTCTTTTGGGAGATCGGCATCTACCACGTTCCAGCGGTAGCAACCCCGAGAGAATCCCACATTCCGCACTTACCTACCAACCGACGCTGAGGTGCTGACCTCCCGCGAGAAGAGCGAAACAGCGGAAACCGCTGCGTATACTCCGCGAAAGACGAGAAGAAGAGAATGAAGATAAAGACGAAGATGATGGTAGTGAAGAAGAAGAAGAAATGAAGAAGAAAATGATGATGATGGTGATGAGCGCACGCAGACGATAGAACGTCAAGAGTTGGACGGACGGGTGGATGGACGAACGGGACGCCGCGCGGCGAGACACACAACACACAACACAACCGAAACTGTATGCACGGTCCCGGCGCGCGCCGGAAACGGTATTAAACGAATGCCCCAGCGTACGCACTCGCTCGTAAGCACTCGCGCGAGACACAACGGGGGTTATGAGCCGCACACAGGAGGCGACGACACGTCACGTATACACCAGCCCGTTCGCCACTCACAATCGCGGCCGGCGCGCGGCCAACGAATCGTCAGGCCGTATCCGGCGTTGAGGCGGCATGGGACCCGGCACAGGCTGAGCTGTGGGTCAGGCCGTAGAACAACCGAGGCTCGTCACGCCGGCCTCAACGGATCCGATCAGTTGACGGCGGGCCCTCGAGCGGGTTGGCCGGTTTTCGAAGAGTTGTTCGTGGCTGCGCGTTCTATGCTAAGGGAGCCGCGACCTCTCTTCTCTCTGCAGCTGCCCGTCCTATTTTCCAGCCCGAGCCACGATCGGATTACCGGAGAGTAAACGCACTCCGTTGCTCCGAAAGAGAGGGATAGGGGAGACCTTCGAAGATAACTTCGAAAACCCTTGCACTTGGAGTGGGTCATAGATTCGAGTTGGTATCTCGATCCTAAACTTATAATCCCAACTAAATGAAATACAATATTCAATAGGGCTACACTCTTATTCATTGAACAATCCTATGCAGGATTGTTATCTATCGTACTTTGACATCACTATTGAAATATTTACCTAATTGTAAGGCTTTGTCTCAAGTTCGTTATGTTAGAAAGGAAGATATTGATCCTACATCTCTCGGTATCTCTATTTAAATGACTGAAGAGCGTATAGTTTTAATATCAGACCATCTTAAGATCGTTGTATCTGAATATTGCAGATTTCTGTACCCTTGAATTACTCGAGGAATTGTGTTGACACATGATGCTATTTATAGATACACGCCTTTCGCGAGTGAATGCAGACTCGTGTAATCGATAGATAGAGATGATATTTTCAATCTTCCGCGGTGAATGAATTACAGGCGCTAAGTCTAAGCGATAATTTATAATTTGTCGTTACGCGTTTGTTACGTCAATGACATCGTAATTTAAAACATACAGACTGATGCAGGAAACCAGTTGAAGTCTGTGCATCAACATTATCGATCCATGGTCTATTTTTATTTACCTAAACTAATAGTGGTCACTATATATATTATGTACACACACTATGAAATATATATATAAATAATAAAAAATATGTAAGCAGCAAAATTATTCATAAAATATATATAAAAGCAATAAAAAAAGCATCATTTATGGTCTATCTACTAGAATGTATATGTAAATGTTTACAACAGAAATTAATAAATTCTTTTTTGCTCCGTTTTAAAACAAAAAAATATCTCCCAAAGATTATTAATATTATTAGTAAGCTTCAAATACACATTTAAGATTTCCAATTCTTCCCTTAATATAATCTAGCTTTTCTAATGTTGTATTTTCCTTGCGTTATGTTCTAAATAAGTAAAAAAGTGACTGAGAAGAGAGAGAGAAAGAGAAAACAAACTCGTAATATACTGAAGAGCAAACAGAGTCGATATTCGCCCGTATGTACTTACATATTTATAGCCGCAGTAAGTGATCCCTAAAGCGAACGGCGCGTCGTTTAAATAGGCTTTACAAGCGGCGGAGAACGTGTAATTTTTCGTCATCTCGCGGAACCCTAGTTTGGCTGGGTAGAGAAAGGGAGGGCGCACCGCCGCGCCGCTGCTCCGAAGACTCAGGGTCTTGGTGAGTTGGTGTTTTGAAGGGACGAGAGACGCGCGCCGCCGCAGCCGATGTATACGGTGGCTCGTTCGAGTTACTGAATGGCCGCGCACGCGATACACTACGGAGTTTTATATGAACGGAGCGAGATTATGATTTCCCAGTGAGTACGTTCGCGGAAACAACCTGCCTATACGGCAGTGGAATGTGATTCACGACGCTCAATCAGCTATCCCGGAGTAACACGTCACTCCGGTTAAAGTTTCGAGCAATATAGTCGCGGGCGATTCTTGGACGATACCCAAGCACGTTGGATGCTGTCGGATTCTCTTCTGGGAAACTGCAAGTTTGCAATCCTGATGGGCGTGGAAATGCGGATTTCAAGCGTTCCGGATAGAGAACCATTTGTCAAATGTCTGCCGATTATTCTCAGTATTATTTTTCTACCACAAGAGCGCAAAAGTTATAATAATCGTAATATAATGTGTTTTGAAGGATAAAATCAACACGAAGAAATATGTATAATATCCCAGGGGATATATATATATAAATAAATTAAAACAAACTCGAACGTGTTAATCACTAATTGTAAGTTAAATAATCGCTATTTATTGTACTGTATTGTATTGTACTCCAATTATTATTAATAAAGAGAAGATCAATACATTTTTAAGCTATATAAAATGCCAATATATTATTTATATTATAGCAATTGCAATTGAGTTTTCAATGTTTATTTCGTCTGCATAACATAAAAAAATGATACGTTAATCGGCGTACATTTTTAAAACAAATGCAACGTTACACGGGTCAGTGATTCTGAAAATCCCGTTTAGTAATCTGATTTTTTTTTCCCGTTACTTATACAAATTTTTCAGAAAATAGAGTACGTCGTTAACACGACGCCGATTACTGACAATGAATACAGAAACTGATTATTATCGTGGGAATTAATGTACGCTTATTCAATGCAGGATCATGAATATCTCGTTGTTCCGCGAATGATGGTAAAGTCCTGCCGAGTATATGCAAATATCAGCATACAGTCTGAAAATATACACTGGTAATGTGAAATGCTTAACATGGACTCGCTAGTGTATCTAATGTGTTATCTAGTATCTAATGTATCATCCGTTTTCCGAGTCGTGGCTTATATAACGAATAATTTGTAGTTTACGAGATGTACTCTGCATTATTCGAAACTACACTATGGAGTACATTGTGCGATTACTGGTCGTCTAATGAAATTCGGGTTTTTATTCCGGGATGAAAATAATAATGAGTCCGTCTCGATATTACTTTTGACCTGCTAAGTAAGTGGAAGTCACAGTTTATTGTAACTTTTATATTCCGCTGCGACGTTAAACGATCAGGACGGCCCGTCGTTCGTCGTAGCCGCAAGCTACGGGACTTCGGTATCGTCACACGCCGGCGGAGTCGTATGCATATTCCCGGGGAAATTAGCGGCGCGACATTACACATTCGTCATCCGCGCCTGACACTATCACCCACGGAGGGAAGCAAAGGAAGTGCGGCGGTTTCGACGACCGCGCGCGCGCAACGACCAGGATTCCCCGTCCGTTATTTCAACATCCGTGTCGTCGTAAAAATTGCGAGTCTGTCGCTCCGTCGCGCCGGATCCCGCCGTGCTTTCGGGAGAATCCTGTTGGAGGAGAGCGCCGCGCGCCGCCACCGTGGAGGAATTCTCATGCACGGAGGCTGCGCTGAAACGTTTCTTTCGAAAGGCCTTCCGGAATATCTCTTGTCGAGGAGGCATGCATATGTATATATAGATTGGCGATACACGACGGGACTATTACATCGGACGATTTAAAGACGATAATCTTTTATATATATATATATATATATAAATATATATATATATATATATATATATATATATATATGTATATACATATACAAAGTGAGAGTATACTGGGGAGTTCAACAGCCGCGTTAGCATGCGGAGGATGCGCGATGGTTATGCGCTCTGGAGACGAAGAAAGTCTCGGGGTGACGGTCGGTTACGAGCTCCACGGTCCGTTTTGCTAAATAAATAAGATTATTTACAATAGCGCCGCCGGCCTTTGCGATTCACCGGTGCCGGTGAATGATTTTAAATCGGCCAAAAACAGATATGATAGAGATCAAAATATGTAGCCCGATATTGGAGAGATAATTCGCGGACTGAGTCATATTACCGATTACGGTTTTATCGGACGCGACAGTGCCGATACGCGATTTTAACGTGGAAATAATATAAGATTATGCTGTTCCGCTAATTACATTACATAATTACATTCCGCGGTCGCGAAAAAGGTCGCGCGATCTGAAGTTCAATCGCGAAATTTCTTTTAATTCCGCCCGCAAAACGAGATCCGGGAATCTCCAGACAACACAATGTTCAAAATCGGGACATAAGACGTCTTAAAGACGTCTTATATTTCTTAATGATGTCTTTAAGACGTCATATCATAAGTCGACTTGAAGGCCCGATTTTGGACACTGTGTTATCTGGAACTACACGTTGGCCACTCGGAAAATCGAGAAGAGCGGGAGATTTCCATGGCATTCTAATCGGCGCCGACGCCGACAGGACAGACATATCTCGCTGAACGTTCTACCATTCTAAACCACTCGTCTTTATCAGTAGCACAAACACGTGATAAACCTCTTAATCAAGCCGTTATATTTACAGACACCCAATTCTCTCTCTATCTCGAACTAAAAGTGAGATAATACGCCGCGCGTTATTATCTTCACACCTCCCCGATGGACGTTCGCACGGAACTTCTCCGTCAGTATACTATAAAAATATTCCGTCCGTACCGTTTCTACCCACGATCCTCGCGAAACGCGCGCAGGACGAAAAAGCGGTGTAAAGAAGAGAAAGAAGAGCAGAAGAAGAAGGTAAACAAAAGAACGCACCAGTGCAGCTTCACTGCATCCCCGAGACCCGAACACACTCAGCGCGGTGCCCATCAGACAATAACGCAGGACCACGTGCTAGCAGGCGTTGTTGGACGCGCTTGCAGGTCGGATGGCTGACGTTCCTGGCGAACCCGTCGATCGTCATCACGGCCGTCATCACGGCCCGTCCGTCGCTGAAGGCGGCCCACCAAGTAGCGAGGAGACCCTGCGCTTCTCCTCGCGGCACGGCGGGATTTCGAACGGCCCTCACTTTCTCGTGGCCTTTTCTCTCTCTCTCACACGGCGCGGTGACGAGCGTGTTGCGCGCTCCGAGACATGAATGGAATGCTTACTCCGGCGGGCGATGCACGCGAGAGACGACTACGGCTCCGGAATGGAATGGAATGGGCCGAGAGGCTCCAGCACGGGTCTGGCCCCAGGAGTGGGGCCGGCTCTCGTCGGGCCCTTTGCAGGGCTCGCTTTAGCATCAGGGCTGTAACTACTGTTTTCTGTGTCGAGTCGCATGTTCGAGCGTGGACGTGAAGAGTCGAAAATGCTGGAAATAAAACCTTCCCACTTGTTGCCGAGTGAAGTGATAAAATAACTGAGAATGTAGAGAGAAGCTCCGATCGTGAACATAATGACAGAATCGATGGATATCTTCTTTTTTTTTTTAATTTAGATCGTGATACTTCATTCCAATGTGCTCGCATTGTCTTTCCGATAAGATAAATTGATTGTTTTATTAACGAGTGAATCGATGAAAGCTATCCGCTTGCTAAAAATTGCTAATTACAAGTCATTTGATCGCGTATATAATTATTAGGTTTTTAAAATGACTATTTTTTTTCCAAATATAGCAGTATTTTTATAATTCTTTTCAGAATATTAATTCCGTTATCGTTGACGATGTAAAGAAGCATGTCGGCGGAGTAGAGAAAGGCCCTCGCTAATTTCTGAAATTTATGGCGGAACGTTCCTTCTGCTTGGAATTCCGGAGCACTTCGATCGCTTCTTTTATACTTCATTTTACAACCACGGCTTTAAAGAAGTCGCCAAGCATATATAGGCACAATATTTAATTGGACCTGTATTTTTGTTAGTTCTTCATTTGTGTTTGAATTTCCGGCGTAGGAAAGTATGTCGTTGCATCCTGTCTTCACGTGATCGGAATTCGGTGCTGGTATAAAGGCAAGGCGTTCGGCGTCGAAGGTATAGAATTAAAGAGTCCTACATGCGTCGTATTATTGATTGACCTAAATGTGTTTGATTTCTTGATAATTTCACTCAAGTGTTTCTTTTCCTTCGTATTCTATGTCAACGATCACAATAGAAGATATTATCACGAGCAATACTTTACTTTTTAAAATATATTTTAAATATAATCTTGCAGAAATTCTGTACGTTTCGCAAAAATATTGCAAATAGCATAATTATACGTTCTTCTAAATTCAAAAATTTTCTTAAATTATTAGACAAAAGTTACAATTTTGTAAAATATTCATCTAAAACCGCGTAATTTTTGTACGCGTACCGATGTGAGGATAACTCGAGTTCTTTGACCTGAAGTCAAGAACACACTATAAATGGTCAAGAAAATTATTCTGTTTTATATATCTGCGAATGACTAACGTTGGCGCCCGCGGATGATGATTAGGAGACTTTTCATAAGCGTCACTCGGTTATTCGAGCAGCTTGCGCGGAATTATCTCGTGTGACGAACCAGTGATGCATCTAACGCTGCTTGTTTCTACATATAAGTGCAGTAACGCAGTGACGCATACTGTAGCCAGATGATGTATATAAATCAATGACCATTATTGCCGCCCGACGAGCTATACTGTCCTTTACGCTGTTTCACTTAGTTACAAATCCAGCAAGTCGATTGATAATCAATAGAAATCCAAATAAACGCGTGTAGAAGATACTCGATCCCTTGTCATTTACGTTCACAAATTATTATTATCATTATTGTTATTTCTTTTCTTATTATTAATCGATAAGATATTGTAATTAATAACAAATAATTAATTTAAAAATCGTATCTATTTTTGGCGTGGTCCTTTCAGTTCAATTATTATATTGTATCAAGAAATACAATGGAAACTTTGCTATTCATTAATGAGAGTGTCGCATTTTTGTAGGGTAATTAAGGCAGGGAAAATTAGATGGCGAGTCTTCGTAACAATAGATGGTGCTGCGCGCGACACATTCCACGTAGAAAAATACCTGGCGACTCTGGAAATAGAGGAGGATTGAGTTCCGTTACGTGCTGTATAATGAGGACCCGGTGCACCGACAAAGTAACTATTTTTTTTGCCGCAATGGGTTCTCATTAAATTATTCAAGCCACTTAGAAGGAGAACGCACATTTTACTTGTAGATCGTTTCTAGGAATGCACACAGTGGGAACGTGGATCTAAATGTACTTTTCGTTTCTGAATGGAGAGTTAATTTTCGGTTTAATCTTCAGGCCTATCGTTTTCATTTAATCGACAATTGAAAATCGAAGGAATAATTAATAATTACTATTCTTACACACTACCAGATAACTATATATATTAGATATCTGATTGATCGACACAGAGAGATCAGGTTTGAAGTATTTTATTTGACACAGTGAAATAACCGACTGAACAATTTCCAAAAATACATCAGGATACTTTCAAGCAAAAATAATGAAGACGATAATGCCAGGGTTGTCTTGACGTTGCACTGAGAAACACCTGGAGACCGTCTACACCTGGTTGCTTATAGAGGTCCTTTTATCGCATTTTAGTGTGCTACTTCGAAAGGGACGGAGAAAGCACAATGAACCGACTGTACGTAGTCCTGGAAACATGTCGATATTGCATTTCAGCTTCTTATCGTGCGTTGAAACGTCGCGGCTAGCACTTCTTCTAGCGTTTCACGTTGGCTAGCGGACTATTCGCGCGACTAAAGCGACTAAAACACGATGTTGTCTGTTAAAATATCTCACGCTAAGAAAATATAAAACTTCGTCAGCCAAGACTGTCTACATCCTAAGACTTGGGGAGTAGGAGTCGAGCCAGTCGTACAGAGGAATGTCAGCGGGCGTATGGAGCTAATAAAAAATATATCCGTATATACTCTAGCGCAGCAAAAGGCAAAAACTTCTCTGACGATCTGACGAAATAAGAAACCGTCTAGATTACTACCCGCCCGCGCTCACTTCTTTGGCGTCTTGACCTTGCACCTATCTCGTACCAACGTACACCAATTTGACACGGGGGCCGAGCGTGTGCTCGTTGGCACTGCCGGTGTTTTCCTATGCAACGTACGCGAATAGGACGCGGTTAGCGATTCCTTTATTTTTCGTTCCAGCGCGGACCGAACAATGGGGGATCTAAATTGGGCAAAAACCAGTCCGACGTCTAGTTTGGTGAGGTCGGAGGCATTCTGGTGCACAGTGGGACCAGGAGCAGCGCCAGGGGGTTAGTGAGAAGGACAAGAGGCAGGAAGGGAGAAAGAGAGAGACAGAAGGAGGCACGTCGATAGTCTCACAATGCAGCCGAGAGCCGAGTCGGACAAAGCGACCGGGAGGGATCTGCGATCGATCCAGCGCGGGGACCGTTCTGTTCCGATGTCCTCGGAAACCTGCGAGCGACCGGCTTTTGCGGATAAAAGTGGCAATTAACACACAGCGACGACTGTGAAGGAATGTCCCGTGCCTATATACGCCATTCCACTACCCGACTAGTTCGTTGCACCCTCTCGGTCAGTTATGACACGCGAATTTCGTTTTACTTTTTTACCCTTTCTTCTCGTTTGTTTTTTGAACCCGCGCGCGATTCTTTCCCGATACTGTTTACGGCATCGTTTTTTTGTTCGACTCGCCAGCTCGCGCCAATGCAGCTGTTTCTTGGAAGAGTATCCGGGTTGGTCGTCGTTTAGGGATGGACGTGTCGGAATGTGGGCCTTTTCGGAAGAAGGATGCGCCGGTCGGGCGCGTGAGCTATGTGTGTCGGAAACGGCGGATATCTTCGCCGACAAGATTATTCGTCAAATTGATTATGTTGGAAGAGATAAGCGAGGCAATTTACGAAATTAATATATCATTCGAAATGAACCATATGATTCGCGAATATTAATCGCGAGTATTATGATTATGAGAGAAAGCAAATATGAAGATTATTGAAAAGTATGAGATTATAGACTGTCACTTCTATTTCGCGATGCATTTGACAGCTCTATGATATAATTGTAGAAGGTTGCTTTTAATTTTACTTATAAAACACATAAAGGATTAATATGAACATGAAATGTATTGCTAAATTATCATTTAACAAAAAACATAGTAAAAATGCGTTTGTTAAATTCAATGTGCATTCTCTCGTCCTCTTTGTTTCTAGAAGCCACCAATTACCCAATAAAAACAGTCACGTCACATCCACGTCGAATCCACGTCGAATCCACGTAGCAATAACGTGGATCCACGTACTGTTTTTATCGGGTATTATCAGCGTCCAACAAGATCGCGCTCTTCTACGATCCTTTCTTTCTTCTCTTTTTCGAATCTTTTTTTAAACATAATAGCTTCGTCTGGTTGCTTATCTTGCACTTGTCTCGTTTTCTTCCATCTCTGATTCCATGTCCGGATGTTCGTTTTGACTATCATCGATCGGCACAACAACGCTTAAAGGTGCCTTTTCATGCTGACGCTCGACGCTCATTTTCAGCGGCAAGAAGGTCGCATGACCACAATTGACGCCGGCGTCAATTGAAATTCATGAAAAGAAAAACAGCGTCAAAATTTCGGCGTCTTTGCGCTGCTTTGGCTTTGACGCTTAAAGCTGAGAAAATCCAACTTTCTTTGCTTGACGCTAGCGTCAGATCGAAATCACGTGATCTCGCGATACGCTGAAACGAGCGTCCCATGAATTCGCACCTTAAAACGAAGACAGTAATTGCGCGCCTGACGCAGACGACAACGTCGTTTATGCTCCTCTCGCCTCGATTGAGCGTACTTAATAAAATTTTGACGCCCGGTCAATCCTTTATGCTCTACCGTATCGATACTCTCTATAATCCGATTATCCTATTATCTTATAATTATTTACAGATTTTAATAGCATTATTCATTTACGTATATTAATTTTTTGGAATTAATATTAATAAAAATATCGATTATCTCTTTAAGAAATTTTTGCAAATATAAAATATTAGTTGGATATTAAGATTGCATTATTGCATTTCTTGTTGTATATATACTTTTGGTATATATGGTAATCAATAATAGAATATGTATGTATAAAAGTATTTTTATAAATATACATTTTTTGTAGAGTTCGTATGTTTATATATCTACTGATGGTAGATAAGAAGTTCAACTTGTTAGTTGAGTTCCTAATGTAT